CCTAATAGTATCCATTGTACTATCCTATATTAACATGAACAAATAATTATAATTAATTTACAACAAATCATTCAAAAATGCTCGCATTTGTTGAGCGAGAGCCAACTTAAAATCTACATCGTATTGTTTTCCAGGTTGATCATACGTAAGCCTACTAGGTCCTACACCTTTAGTATTCCTGGTAGATTTTCTTACTTTTACACTTTCATCGACTCCGGCATCCGCACGATCACCATCACTAGAATCACGCACATCCACCTCAACATCCACATTCACATCATCATCAACTGCGTCGCTTTGCGCAACCGTCTGATTATTATCCTCTTCGACAGCATTATCAGGATTATCAAAGTTATTATTTTGAGTGATATCATTTACATTCCTTACATGTTCATGCCTGTCATCATGGTTATCATCATGGTGATTTATGTCAATAGCCAAATCGGTCCTTTGATCTGGTAGGTTAATGTCATTTTCGTCAAGTGAGGGGGTATCTGGTGGGATAATGTCATTTTCGTCAAGTGAGGGGTTAGGGTCTGGAGTATGTTCAATAGGGACAGACTCATTTGGTATGATGAAGATGTCCCCGTCGTTGTCTTCATCTTCTTCCTCATTAATTACTGTATTAGCAGTATTTCTACTACGTGGGGTCGCTTGTCTTTGCCTAGTAACTGGAGGCTTGGTGGTTGGCAAGTCAGTGTCATTGGGTCTGTCATTGTCAGGTCCGTCATATGGGAGGAGGAGGTTACGATGGAGGACTCTAGGGGTATCCGTGCTTCCTTCCTTTTGCACGCGGTAGACAGGGGATTCACCTATCTTATGTAGAATGACATATACATTGTCACCCCACCTGTTCGCTAGCTTGTGCTTTCCGCGCAAGTGCACGTTCTTTACCAGAACACGGTCACCTACCTCCAAAACAGGGGCCTTAGCTTTAAGGTCATACTGCTTTTTGTTTGCACTACTACGTTTAGCCATGTTTCTTGACGCTATATATCAACGCTTCCTTAAGCTGTTCCCGGAGATTCTTGACATATATTGTCTTGTCCTTCTCCGACGACCACTGGGGGTCAATGCCAAAGGCAAGATCAATGGGCAAGCGAGCATTCCTGCCGAACATCAAGAAGTATGGAGAAAAGTGTGTTGTATCATGCTCGCAAACATTGTAAGCATGTACAAGGGGGCTGACATGTTTTCTCCATTCGGACTTACCCTTATCGGAAAGGCATCCTAACATGTCTAGCAGGACACGGTTAAACCGTTCTACGGGGTTAGCTTGGGGATGGTATGGGGTAGTGCGGACTTTCTCTACTCCGGCCATGCTACATAATTCCTTAATCAACTTAGAATTAAAGTCCTGTGCTTGGTCGGTTAAGATCTTGGCTGGCCAGCCATAGTGAACAATAAAGTTCTCCCACAGGGCTTTCGCCACTGTGGAACTACGCTGGTCTTTGTTTGGGACTGCTACAGAGTACTTACTAAAATGGTCAGTCATGACTAGAACATTTTCTACCCCTCCATTGTCAGGTTCTATGCTTAGATAATCCAAACATAGAAGTTCCAATGGCTGAGTAGTCACGATGGTGCCCATTTCTTCCCGTTCCTGTTTCCTTTTCCGCTTTATGCACCTGTCACACTGGTCAATCCATTTCTTAATGGTCGACGCCATAAACGGAAAGTAGAACCGTGTTTTCGCAAGAGAGGCACACTTGTCAAAGCCCAAATGGCCACAGTCATCATGGATTCCACGCATAGCTTGGCCAATGAAGCTATGCGGGATTACTAATTGGAGCCTTACTTCACCAGACAAAGGGTCTTTAGTTTGCCGGTATAAGACACTCTTATGGAGAACAAACCTTTTCATTTCCCGGAACAGCACACGCAGGTGTGTGGACGCTTCTTTCCTATCTTTAGGGGAAGGGTGGGAACCTGATTCGATGAATGTCCTTACCTTACCAATGTCTGGGTCATCCATCTGGAGTTGGTGCCAATCAGTGTCACTAAGACCTGGGAGAGAGGTGTTACCTTGTAGACTATTTGTGTAAGGGTCTGGTATGGACGAGGGTTGCATTGCAAGACTTATTGCAATTACAACTGGTGGAGACTGGGAGGGGTATTTAGGAGTATGTTTACCTTGTATCTCACCTGTCTCGTTGGCTGGCTGTTGTACATACCCTTGGAATAATGCTGATACTTCAGCGGTATCCATCTGCTGGACCCTAGACTTTAAGAACTCTACTTGAGTACTCACCTCTTCCTGGATCTGGTTGTCATCTGGTACTAGGCCCGGCCTTCTGCTGAGAGAGTCGGCATCATTCAAGTTCTTTCCTGGGCAGTACCTAATTTCAAAATCAAACACAGACAAGTTTGCTACCCACCTCTGGCCAGTAGCGTCGAGCTTGGCATTGGTCATGACATAGGTTAGGGGATTATTGTCAGTTATGACGATGAACTTCTCACCATAGAGGTAGTCAGCAAACTTTTCAGTAACTGCCCACTTGAGACATAAGAACTCACTTTTCCAAGCGCAGTAATTTCGTTCAGTTTGGCTGAGACCACGCGAAGCGTAAGTAATTACCCGCTTTATGTCATCCTGCTCCTGATAGAGGACAGCCCCAAGACCAAACCCAGAAGCATCGCAATGCAGTTCAAAAGGTTTCGACAGATCGGCAAAGCCTAGGACTGGTGCAGTTGTAAGCAGCTTCTTCAGTGCAAGGAAAGCATCCTCACACCTGTCGGTCCACTTTTCCCGAAAGGGCTCAAGCTGGGCTCTCCTTACCTTGGAGCGGTCAGCTGGTGTGCTGGATGATCTCCTAGGCATCGACAAACCTACCAGCAGATCATTCAGTGGTCGGCATATCTTGCTGAAGTCTTTGCAAAATCTGCGGTAATAACCGCAAAATCCTAACCACTGTCTGAGCTGCTGGACATTGTTTGGTCGATGCCAATTAAGAACATCCTCGATCTTGGATGGGCATGGTCGAATCCCTTTACCGCTTATCTCATGCCCGAGATGTGAAACTGTCTGGTAAAGGAAATGGCATTTCTTCTTTTCAAGTTTGAGGCCAAAGTCCCGGACCCTCGTTAGAACCTTGAGAGTACGTTCAATGCACCCTTGCATGGTCGGTGCGTGTATGACAATGTCATCTATGTAGGCAATTGCTTCTCGCAAGGAGCAATCACCTAGGCACCTTTCCACAACCCTTTGCATTTGGGCGGGGCTGGACTTCAGGCCTTGTGGCATACGAGTGAATTCATATAATCCAAATGGGGTATTGAACGCACTGAATTGTCTATCTTCTTCACGAAGTGGAATCTGAAAGAATGCGCCTTTCAGATCCACAACCGTGAAGAACTTGGACCCGTGGAGTGAGTTGAATAGATCCTCTACCTTAGGTATGCTGTACGCGTCTGGGGTAACCCGCCTGTTTGGTTGACGGTAATCTACCGTCATCCTTAGTTTCCCAGATTTCTTGCGCACCAAGCATACGGGTGAACTGTATGCACTGGTAGAGGGCCTTATCAACTTTGCGTCCAGGAGGCCCTGAAAAAGCTGTCTAGCTTCTTCGTACATGTTTTGGGGAATGGGGCGTGAGCGAGCATTCCACGGGGTCTTGTCAGTCAGCTTTATTACGTGCTCCACGCCCTTAGCACAGCCGTAGTCATTATCGTCCTTGGCAAATAACCCGTCAATCTGATCTAATTGTTTCGTTAATGAGTCAGCAATGACTTGGGAAGTGTCACTAGCAATGTCGTAGTTACCTAACGAGTCGTCATCGTCATCTACTTTCTGAGGGGAGGAAGTAAAGTAACATGGTACAGTCAATCCTACAGAGTCAAAGTCATGGTCTTTAGTCATTAGTCCAGTCACATTAGCGCATACTTGAGCGAGAGGTCTATCCCACATGTAGGTAAATGCCTCTGCTATTACTTGTCTATTGTGGACAGTAATGGGGACATTTGTGTTGTTACTGATACTCACCTTCACTTTGGCTCTCCTGCCAAACACTTCCTGGATAGCATTTACAACATGAATGTCTTGGTTGCGATGAGGATCCTCCACCTCTTGCACCAGAACATTGTGCTTACCAGGGGGCAGGGAGCTGTACAGGGTTCCAACTACCTGTAGAGCCTGGTCAGGCTCGATTGTGAGGGGGCGTCGCAGTCGACAACGAACTTGTCCTACCTTTCCTGTGGTAGGATCTCCCATCCTCACCTCATATGCAGCCTTCTGATAGCAAGCATATATTGAGGTGGGGATGTCAAGTAATGATAGAAATTTGGGGCCTAAATGTGCCCTGCAGGCAGTTGCAAGGCTACGAAAAACATTAGTTCCTACAATGACTGGGGAGGGGCAAGAGACGCGACAAGTAACGATTATTGCAAGAACATTTACTGGGGTGTCTATACCTACTATCTCTTCAGGGAGGCAAATGGGGATGGATATATACCCTTCATACAACACTGACTGCCCATTCGCACCTTCAATACGCAGTGACGAATTAGCCAGGTGCTGTAATGGGTATAAACTACTCAGGTGGGAGTCATAGAAATGTTTTTGGATGGTGGTGACTACACTGCCACTATCTATTAGGCAGGTAGTTTTAACATTATTACTACCAAGGGTACAGTTGGTCTCACACGACTCTCCTATCAACCCAGGGGGAATTTCTACTTCTAACTTAGATGGGGAATTATGGTGTTTTTGGGGCACTACTTTAGGGCGCTTTTTATTTCGGCCTCTCGTTCGCCCACTAACGGAGGTCCTTACATGTTTGGGTGATTGGGAGTTTGGGAGGGGGTGAGTGGGGATTGGGGGAAGGAGGGGGCACTTTCTATTGCCATGGCCTCCCAGGCTGCGAGAATTTCTTTTCTGCGGGCCAAATTCTTTTTCTTCAATTCCTCATTGGGGCGGTTTTTACACTCCCTCTCAAAATGGTTGAATTCGCCACAATTGTAGCAAACCAGCACCCTAACTGGACAATCCCTGTCAAACGAGTTTACGGGTTTAAGGGGGCCTTGCCTATTTTGAGGGGTCTATTTTTCTTTTGGGGGTTCCCTTGATACATCATTGGGGTAGGAGGAGGTGGTGGTGGTGTTGGTGGTGGTGGGGGTGGGGATGGGTAAGGGTGGTATGGGTTGGGTGCGCCAAGCTGCTGAGGATAGCTTTTAACAGTGCGCTTTTGGGTATATTTTGCATCACGAGTGGCTTCGGCTTCTCGGATGAGGCTTATTAATCTGTGGAAAGGGGGCGCAACAATTTGTTGATGGAGATTGGTCACAGAGAGGATGTACTCATCCTGGCATCCCATCCTGAACCTATCTAAAAGTTTCTGGTCTGCCGAGTCTGGTAAAAACTCTCCTATCTCCACCAACTTGTTGATTTTTAGTTGAGTCCTCTTAAGGAAGTCTGAGGGTTTTTCCCCTTTTTCCTGGGCCATGGACATGAACTCGCTAAGGAGAAGGGACTTGTTCTCCACTGCGCCATAAACATTGTCTAAAAAAGATACAAGTCCATGGGCAGTGGAGCTTGGGGAAACTTGCCTAGCGAAGTCTTTAGCAGGCCCGCAAAGCCTAGTGACGATCTCGCGCCTTTTGGTTTGCTCGTCAATTGAGGCCATTGACGCAACCTCAATTGCGACATCTTTAAATGTCTCCCAGTCTACCTCGCCTTGTTTTACTGGCTCTTTTCCTGAGAAGAGGCCAAGACGGGGGAGACGTGGAGCATTAACTATGCCATGACTATGGGCAGGTGGCGGGGAAGGGGAGCTGGGGGAAGGGGCAGGGGTGTGGACAGGGGGAGGGTTACCTATTGAACACCCTTTCACCAATTTTTCGAGTTGGGAAAGGGTAAGTCCAGACTCTGTCAAAAACTTACTTAAGGTGTCAGGGTCAGCACTAGAAAGTAGTTTTTCCTCATCAGGGACAAGGGAAGTGCTGTCCTCGAGAGACATGTTACAATTAATCAAATCCTTATACCAAATAAAAACAAAGTAATGGTACAAACAATATATACCAAATAGAAAACAAATGCAGGTAACACGCTGAGAGAGTTGTTGCGACCAAGAAATATAAGAGGTAAACAACAAATAGGTTCCGGCACCTAAGAAAACAGAAGCAGACAACAACAACAACTTGCCAAATATGATCGAAGTAATATCATATATACTAGCAAAGAAAACAAAACAAAAACAAACTCAAAACCAAGAAACCTGGCAATTGAGACTACTATACCTTAGATAGCCTTATAACCAGTTGCATCAATCAATTTAGCAGTAAACTTAAATACCATAAAAGTATCAGTTTACTATTCTCATACCAGTCTATCAGTCAAAACAAGGGGTCAAGGTCATGTCATTGTGTTAGGTTGGTAAATCATTTCGTATGTCACTATTAAAGTAAATATTAAAGTTGTATGTCATACGATCAGGCAAGAACGTGTAACCAAACTAAAAATACAAATAGGACCAACCAAAAGAGAAAAACAATAAAATAGAAAAATATATTATAAAAACAACAACCTCGCTCTGCTACCAATTGTAGCACCGGCATTTTTGGGGTGGGGTGAGGATCATATAATAATCACACAGTCACTCATAATAGCAGCGGAAGACTAATATAAAATTGCATATCGGGGAACTTTTCTTTAATTAGTACCCATGCAAATAATCCCCCCTTTTATGCCGGTTACCACAGGACTCACACAAACATTACGCACACCAAGTACATCACATAAACAAACAATCAATCATACCACGAACACCGAGAACATATCACAGAACATACAGTTACACAATCAAAGCAATCACGCTCATTCAATCACTACACACAAGAGTCTGAAAATCTAAACTATTACTCATTATTTATGCGAGTATATATCGGGATGTCTTTTCCCTTTATTATTTACAACTTATACATGCACTTCTATAAAATCATAGAAGTTTAACAAAACAATAACATTTAACTGAACTATAACTATCTATACTAATCCTACAAGGTCATACATAACTTATCACTACTACATTTACATCCTAAATTATATCAATTGGACATGAGGGTTCTGAAATGGTTAGTGCTGAGGCGACGACCTTCATTGTGACGTTGTCTAAAGAGAAGAAATATTAAATATTGTCAGCGACAATTAATATGGTGTTGTCCCAATGGAGGTTGGAGACAAAAGAGCACGAATAATATCTTTACTATTATTCTCTAAATTAATTACTATCATTATTATTATCCTCATGCCAATACATCAAAACTGAAATGGTTAGTAAATAATATTTACAGAAAAACATGCAACATATATGATGACGATATAGTACTCTCTGTTTAAGGAGGCTTATTTTCATCGGTTAGTAATAATCAGGAATAACTGTAATAAGTTTACAAGTTCAAAGAATGATTCAATAGCATCACATGGTTTAACAGCATGTGATATCACTTTCTCCCATCTCTACAACAACTTTACACAAAATCCGTTTAAATCTCACAACTGCATAACCATCCACTCTTGAGAAATACATAATGCCAACAGTTGGTTATAATTGAGTAAGATATTCAAAAAGTGTAATAATGTGCTTACCTAAAGAGAAGAAATATTAAATATTGTCAGCGACAATTAATATGGTGTTGTCCCAATGGAGGTTGGAGACAAAAGAGGCTGATGATGAGGAGAAGATGGCTGACTTTGAGATGGGTTATGCCATCTCCCAACTTAGAGGTAAAAAGCTTCAAGTACTTTCATTAATACATGTTCAGGATAAGCATTTAACAATTACATCATACAACATTGATACAGATGACACATTGTATAATCATATAAATAACTTTCCCAATTGGAGAAAGATAAACAATCAATAAACAATCAGAATTAATACAATATGTATTTATGAACATTAATTCATAGGCCATAACACCCCTAGGCTAAAAGAATGGAGTGACCCAACCATGGTCAATCTTGACCACACATGACTCATGACTCATGTTTCAGGGGGACGGCGATGTTCTCCCCTGGTTCCAGGAACAGTTGGTATACCACATACAAGGCACACGTGTGTACTCGTATGTATAGACTATGGGCATATATATGTACTATATATTTCAACACTGCACAGAGCATGTGGAATGTCCACTAAGGTGAAAAGGGCAAAGTTATAAAATTCATGGACTCACATGTAATTTTACAAACATGTGATAAATGTGTATAACTTTATGTATAATGTTAATGTTGCACCAAACAGGGGCTACACATTCCACACCTTTTCTTTCACAATGCAATCGGATGACCAGAACTCACCTTTATCTTTAATATTATTTGTTTAAGGATGATCTAGATCATGGCATTTCGAAATAATTATAGTGAGAAGAATCAAAGACTAAGGATATCAATCATTCAATAAGAAGAATGTATGTAGTTTTGTTGGCAATTCATATAATTTCCCTGCGGAAGTTCAAAGTACATGTATACATGCATCTGGTATTATTCCATCATCAATATAGGTTCTTCTGTGAATTATGTGTAATGTGAAGTAGTTTGTTCTATTTAGTGTCTCTGTACTTTAGGATCATGATAGGCTGATAGTATACTCAGGGGATATTTTTATAATCATTCTCCCTCTTGAGTGGCATGTTTATCATCCATGAGTTTATGTGCTCAGAGTCTGCTTACTGATAAAAAGGCCTAATATTCTGTCAACATTTGATTAGGTTGACTAGTCAAGCTAATGAAATCAGTTTCCAGTTGATATCACTATGTTTATAATGGTGTTAAGTGATACATGTATATTATTTGTATGTCAGACATCTTAATTATGCTATAATTAGCTCTGTTACATTGTTATGGCATGTGTAATATGCCATTGTTTGAAGTTGTTTGTCAGTGTTTATATGAGCTGCCAGTAGTTGAAAGGGATACTGGAATGAAAATGAAAATAGAAGTTAGGCAGACATATCACAGTGAGTGCTTGTGGAGAAGGCTGTGTAGATTTGATGCCTCATATGCCTCAATTCAATATAATATTGCTGTATGCGTATTGCCCTACATAGCATTCAATTCAAGAGGTAAGTTCATTGTAGAGAGTGTGATTGGTGTGGATGTAGTTATGTTTTTGGAGAAAAAGAGAGTTAGACAGAGTGAGAGAGAGAGAGAGAGACAGACAGACAGACAGACAGACTGGCATAGACAGAGACGGAGAGAGGAGGAAAGGGGGGTGCAAAAGTGATAGGAGAGAGAGACAGAGAGAGAGAGATGAGCAGAAAGAGGCAGAGGTAGACATAATTTGTCCCTATTTTCACGAAGTGACGGTAGTGAGGAAAATCGTCACACAAAGTGAATGCAATTTTTTTTCACTACCGTCACTTCGTGAAAACAGCGACGATATGCTGAGAGGGGGACATACAAGAGGGTAGAAAACCAAATTTATTTTCTCAAAGAAATATTTTGTTTTAATGCAATACAGAATAAGAGAGATAGAGAAAGAGAGATGTTGCTCAGTAGGTTTAAAAGTCTGTTTCAATGAGAGAGAAGTTTAGATAAGGATCAAGAAGTGCTTGTATTTGCTAGTACTCCTTTGTGCTTCCAACTTTATAGGCTGAGAAATGTACACAAGACCACTAGAGTAGAAAATTGTGCTGTTTTTTTGAACAGTGTGCTTGTATTTGGGTCATAATAACCAAGTTCATATTTCTAAGAAGTTCCCCTGTTTCTGAGTACCTTGCTCTGAGCACATCAGGATTTTTACTTTTTAAGTAAAAAATAAGAAACAAGTTGATTTCTTATTTATCACGATGAATAAGTGCATTATGATTATCATTTTATCAGTATTGGTATCAAATCAATTTGGTGGATATAGTCATTTTTAAAGAATATGAGTGATCCATTGCAAATTGAATCTTTTTCATTACAATATGAGATAAAATTCTTAATTAGGATGAGGAAAAGTCATTAAAAGATGCGCTCAATGTTATAAATTGATCTGTTTTAATCAAGCGAGGAAGAGAATCAATACGAGGATTATGCGAAGAAGTCTCTTTTATCGACAGCCTGGACTAATCAGAGGAGTTACCATACATGAGAGACAAAATCAAAGGAGATCAATAAAACACTGGCTTCATTCTTGCTGATCGTCAATAAGCCGTTCTGAGAGCGAGAAGGGCATTGACTCATGCCGTTTTTAGTTAGTATTAAGTTATTAACACCCTTCTGGCTCTCAGTGCATGTATCATTACATGTTTCGAGATAGGATGTCTCTTATTCAATATGCAACCGAATAATGAGTGCTTAATACGATATTAGAGCAAATTTATGTATTGAACATGACATGCTTTCTAAAGAAGGTCAAGAGTTAGAAAAAGCAAGATGAAATTTAGTTCAGGTTTTAGCAAGATAATTAGTTGGTCTATGGATGAAGATGTTACGAATATTGCTTGACATGAAAATATTTCTCTCTATTTCCTCTCCAAAACATGCGTGAATCTCACAAGAATCGATTCAAATCGTACTTTCAAAATTATGATAGTGTGCTGATGATTGGCCGTGCATCTTTCCTGGTTAAGGAAACCCAATGGCACATACATTTTCAAGTTCATATAAGCAAAGGCAGCACGCTACAATTCAATTTTACAAAAGAATCTAATAATGTGCAAGTTCATGCAGTGACAGCATGTTACGATGAAATTTAACGATAGAATCTAATGATGTGCACGTCCCATAGTTTGCACATAGTGCAATGCCTATTGTAATTCAATTTATTTGATAGTGAGCGACGCCTGACGAGTATTGATTGCCATCTCCAGGGGTGGATAATTTGACACTTTTACACTGTTTTCATGCCCACCATTAAAGTGGGTTTCTACCTGTGCTGGTAGCGTTGTATGAAACATTAGCTGTGCTAAGCACCATTACAGGGAGGTGTACAGTATCTGGCTACAAATGTTTTTTGTTTTTTTCCTTCTTGGTGATGTGAAATACTATAGAAATGTTTATGAATGTATATGAAAGTCTTAATGTCTATACGTAGTTGTTTTTTTAGCTCTTTCTTTGAAGCAATTTTTGTGTAAGTCTCTTTTGCTGACATTTAAGGCACACATTCTAGAGTACATGACACATTATATGTTAGATGATGTGTGGTGTTTAAACTTTAAAGTATTTCTATATTAAGTATGAAAGTATGGACTCTTTTGCAACATATTTTCAAATGACTTAAATTCACATGAGTATTATACCTTTAAGCAGAACAAAAGCAATCTCTTGAGAGTTGATACAAATTAGAAAGTTGGAAATAAAAGCTTTTGTCTTTCTGAATGAAGAGATTACAGAAATATGTTTGAAGCCACATCCTCCTGGCTACAAGCAGACGATTTGGAGCTCAGCCTAAGTTAACAATTTACATATTAAAGCCTAGAGTCATTAAAGTGACCTTCATGTCTCAGAAGTGTACTCTCTAATGTCTCATTTTGTCACCAGTTAGTAATAAGTGGTAATGAGAGTATGATACATGGAGTATCTTCATTTAAATGCCTCCTCCAATCATCGTCATGCACCCTCATCCTCCTCACCTCTCTCATCCCGTCTCCATCTCATCCATCTTAACATCCGTCCTCCTCCTCTACCCCATCTCATCATCCTCCCAGACAATTAATTCCCCTTGACAGTGGAAACCGATCCCAGCAAGGAAATCTTCCTGCATAGATTGAAAATTCCAGCTCCGGTTGAGGGATCTGCTTTCATTTCTCCATCATGGTGTAGTTATGGAACCTCTTGAAATATAACCTTTCCTGCAAAGATTCGGCTACTCTTCTCCACCTCCTCGCTTGTAATCGGAGAGGGGAAATGTTGCGTTGGCTTGGGTAGATCATGTTTAATCGCAGGAAGAGAGAAATGTATCAAGGTTCAGATTCAAATGCTCTATTTAAAAAAGATGATTATGTACAAAAGAAGATGCATCACAAATAAGTAAAGATTTTGAACTTGGTTGTTAGTAAGGTAGGGAGCAAAATATATCTGGAAGATATCGATGGAAGTGGAAAGGGGGAGGGCAGGAAAATAAATAATAGTGAGGAGAGGTAGCAGGTATATTTTTCAAATAGAAAGTATTAATCAAAGTCACGGAGGAGATAGAGATGAGCGAAAGAATGCTCATATCCAAGGATTTATTTGGTCCATCATGATACTGACTGATGTCTTGTCACATCTGTCCTCAGTTTCACCTTTGTTTCTCAATCCCACATTAAGAAACCTTAAACCAAGACAAACTATCAGACGCTCATCCTGACCAACGTAATCCCATATTACCTGCATTCTTCAGGAACCAACCGCACTCGCCTCAAATGTCTCACAGAATATTCTTTCTCATTAATATTGCAATCCTTCTATTCATATCAGAAATATGTTGGGAATTCGCTTACGACTACTTTCGTTATATTCTATCCATGTTGTATACTTTTGCGTATTATTCTATGAATTTCCGTCTTTCATCAGCAGAATAATGAATTTATTGTATACCTAGGTGAGGTTACGAAGGATGTGTGTCAATGTGGCTGGCTGTGTAACTCTTCAAATTGCGGCTTGAATAGATGAATGCATCTTTATTTTGATAACTTAGACTGACAAGATATCATTTCTTCTTCTTCTCTTTGCAGTGCTGGAGTCTTTGAATGTCCTGAAGATCGGTTACCACTCGACTATGCCAAGGTATGTGCATCTTCTTCATGTCTAATAATATTTCCAATTTTGTGCAGCCTCCTGGCATGAGTCACAACTCCACTCCAGATATTCTATCTCTTCACAATTTGCAATATGAACAATGTAAATCTTTTTCTTATACCTACGTGATGAGAGATTGAGAGATTAGATTACTATTCTATTTCTTTGAGAAGGGGGATTATCTCTTTTCTCGTCTGTTGAGAGCCAGAAGGACGATTAACTAATACACTTTAATACAGATATAACGTCCTCCCAGCTCTCACCCTACAAATATCATCTGTTGAAAGAGAGATCAGCAATTAACCCTGTGTTAGCTTAAATGAGTTAACACCCTTCTGCATGGCTCTTGGCAGACAATTTCCCTCTTCAATTTACACTTGTTAATTAGAAAGCAAAAGATACAGATGAAAACTGGCAAAACACCTTTGTTTCTTATTTTATTCACTGCAGTTATAACATCTCTCAAACTTTAAATGAACTTTTCAATTCATCATGTATTAATTCCTTAGGTTGGTTGTATGTACATGGCGGTAACACTTACTGACCACTCTTCTGTCATCACTTGTAATTGATTTGAGCAAGAAAAGTGTATTTCCAGCACTTTTATCACTGTTAGAGACTAGAGTTGATTTTCCAGCAGGTTTTGTCAAACTTTCTGCTTTCCTGATTACAATTAATTCATTGTTCCTATATCCAGCTGGGAAAAGTGGTTTTGAGTTCAGAGCACTTTATTCAAAACTGGCCCTTGGGTTGAAATCACCTGAAGCCCTACCCCCCCCCCCCCCCCCCCCCCCATTTAAAAAAAATAATAATAATTAATAGATCAATACAATTAAGAACATAAAAAATAATGGGGGAAAAATAGAGTGAAAATAAGAAATAAAACCATTCATGCTCATATTTTTTTTTTTTTAAATAACCTCTTTAATTTCTAAAAAGATATCTTTTAAATAGATTGAACCCTGTCTAGACATCTGTTGTTCACACCAGAATGGATGATTCATTCAGTCTATTGTGAAGAAGAAAATTATATTTTATGAATTTGATTACTTACACATGGGGGGAGGGGGAACAGGGGGCAGTTTATTGTTTGTTATTGTTAGGGTGGATCCAGAGCTGGCAAAAATGACTCCTCAAGATGCCATAATTTATTTTTCATAAATGGATGGTGGCAGACTCTGTTGTGTCAATTGAAATACTGTCAGCTTTCATTTTGTGTCCTCAAAACCTTGTTGGGATCGCACATGGTCTGTTGCTCTGAAATCATCGGACATTGGACAGTATTTCAAAGTTTTCATTCATTTTGTTATGTTGATATTAGGAGCTTAGAAGATATTGCATTATATTTTATGTGATAATGAAATTTATAAAATGTTTGCATGTGTAATTTAAACATTAAATTTGTTGAGTGTTAAAAAGCAATACAAATAGCATATCTGTCACTGAGACACTTTCCACTGTCTGCAGTATTACATTTCTTATCTCAAATCATTGTAATCTTGTCAATATTTTCTCAATCTTTTGATCATTTTCATCATCTAGATCATCTAGATTTTCTTTCAAAAAGCTATTACATATCCTCTGAATAAAGCTTGTAAAAATGTCCTTGAAATGTCATAATTCATATCCATAATCTGATTTTTGTACTCATGTACATATTCTGAGTCTCTGAGAGTCTGAAGGGCATGAACCTGTTTTGTTTTAACACAGAATTAATGCCCTTCTGCGTATTAAACCAAGACAAACATTGCTTGGTGCATCTTTTGAAAAGACACTGGGAAGGAGAGACAATTTCTCCAGATGTGTGTCGAGAGAGTCTGCTTTGCATGACTGAGGATGTTATTAGCCTAAACTTGGCTTGGATGGGACATCGATATACATGTACACACATCACTCACTCACTTACTCAGTCATCTCCTTCGCAGGCTGGAGGATCTTCAGAAACAAGTCTACACCAGGTCAGGCATGTGGTGGCAGCATCAGTAGTGACCCTATCTCTGCTGGAAGAAGGATGCCTCCTTTCTTAATTTAGTGCTTCCCATCGTGCATCTAGTTGGTCTATCTCCTCTTTTTCTGTTTGAATGAGACATCATTATTATAATATCGTTTGACCTATGAAAGATCATTGACATCTTCTTTGCTGGAAGAAGGATGCATCTAGTTGTTCTAGCTCCTCTTTTTATGTTTACAAGAGGCATCATCTTTTATCATATGACTACAGATTCTTACCCTCTTATCTGGAAGTACTTGAAGAAGGTTGCCTCCTCTTTCACTTTTGTGCTACCCGTTTTGTCTCTAGTTGGTCCTGGAGCTCCTCCGCAAGTGTGTACAAGAGGCATTATCTTCCATCATTTGACCAAAGATGTATGTGGTCCATCTGTTTGTCTCTTGTACTTGATGTGGCTGATATCTACTAAGTTTGTGATATTATGGTTTTTGTTGCTGCACCCATCTTAGCTCAGGTATCCTGCTCTTTCTAATCATTTGGTTCAAAGATTGAGACAATCATTTGACCAATGAAAGATTCTTGACATCTTTGCTTGCTGGTAAAAGGATGCCTCTCTCTCACCTTTGTGTTACCCCTTTCGTCTCTACTTGGTCCTGGAACTCCTTTACGTGTGTGTACACGATTGAGACAATCACTATTTGTATGGACACTATCATCTGATAAACAGTTGATGCTATAAAAAGACCGGTTGATGGATTGACCCTCTCCGAGGAAGATATCGTCTGTGATTGTTTTCCTTTGCCGGAATTAATTTTTGAGAGCAGGGGTGTCTCTGAGATTAAAGAAATCACAGCTGTCAGGGTGTGGAGAATCATTGATCAATTTATCTCTCTTGACGTACAAGTATAAAACTTATTTTGATCATAGGTGAACGTTTTCTAGGGTAAAGTAATGTCTTCATGGAGAACTCATCTATTCTTATCTGACATCTAGGCTTGACATTTTCCATTTCATTATATGTAAAAGGCAGTTGCAACAAAAGGAGTGTTTTTCCTTCATTTTGTAATCTAAGATGCTGATACACAGTGCTGAGTAGAACTGCTTCTTTTGATAAACATTTCTAATGTATCTCCTTGCTATATGCTCTAGTATTGAGTGATATCAGTCTCTTGCATGGATTGGGTATCTAGAATGATTTATTAGGGCACAGTTGACACTCCTTTCATTTCTGTTTTTCTCCAAACATGTAGAAACGCACCCTTCAACAATGTTAACTGTTCGGTGACATGTAAGCCTCTTATAAGTGGATGGTAGATAATTTTCAGTGGGCATCTGCCGTATCATTGAACTCCTTTTAATGAATTTCCCTCAGATATGTGTCTCTATTTTCATGGACTCTTTGATGATTGAAGATAACTGTTGCAATCAAATCAATCAGACATAAGGACTATTAAAGGAGTAGTGATGGTTCAGTGGTTTGAATTGAACCCAGTCAATGTGCTGATGCCCTTTAGCAAGACATTAATCCTTGCCAAGTCCCTCGGATAGGACTTTAAGCTGTACGTAGGTCCATCTGGTTGCTTACCTTCGATCATATACTCAGCAGTTCGGGAAACTAAATCAAATTCTATATGAATACATGATGAACTAGAATATCAACGATTAATCGGTGGAAGTTGTTCTCCTGCTCCTGATACATGTAGGTCTGAGATCCCCCCCCCCCCCCCCCCCCCCACAGGTGCCCTGAAGTTCTTAGAGTTTAATTAGTGCAGCACTGCTTTGAAGACATCGTAAGACCCTTACATCTATTCTTGTGCTATAGATGTTTGGTATCTGTTGCGTAGCCTGGTAATCAACAGCTGGAACTCTGTCTATTACTTCAATCCAACCTGTCCTGCTCATAGACAGTAGTTTGTTTTCAACTGAAGATAATTGTTCATCATTGCTTGATATCTGGACAGACCACATTAGGCCTGTCCTCATCAGCTCAAGCTTGCCAAATATCCCGCTATTTGAACTATCCCTATCGCAAATTATCCTGTTAATTTGCGTCTTCATCAGCTTGCAGTTGCAATTACCAAGATATTTGGTCGAGATAATCATCCCAAGATATCTTGGGCTAGTTTGCAAAATATCCCGCTATTTGTCCGGCGCTTTTTCACCAGCCCGAATTGACTCGCACTATATGCACAAATGCTGAGCAAAATATTTTGAGCTTGAGTTTTCAAGTTTTCAAGTTTTCGAGGTCAAGTCTCGACGCAAATTTTATCTTTGGTATTGTTTCCCAAATCAGAAATAGCGGGCTATTTGGCAATCTCGAGCTGATGAGGACAGGCCTATAGACAGTAGTTTGTTTATCTACTGAAGATAATTGTTCATCATTGCTTGATACTTGGACAGTCTACATTGTTGACCTGTCTCCTGGAGTTTCTTGACCTTAGATGAACATTCTCATGAGGTCAGCGTATCCAAAGGAAATGAACATGGCTCTCTTCAAATCTTGTGTGAAGAAAGTAAGACATGTTTGCATCAATTAGATTGTTAATATACTTTTAGTGAATATCTATCTTAACACTGATGTTGGTGCATTTTATTACATTTTCTAACACTTTGTCTATTTGAATAGACTAAATAGATAATAAGAATAACTGTGCATACATATTCATTACTCAATACATACTTAAGTTTTCGTCTTGCTTTTGTTATTTTTCATCCCCTTTGTTACCTGTTATTAACCATGTTAACTGTTTATATTCTTGATTTCCACTTTCTGTGCATTGTTTTTGATTTACTTTGATCATGCTCTGATGAGTGTAAAAGCCTTCTTCAGATATGCAACAGTAAACCTCTGTAGTTTCTTTTTGATGACGTATAGTGCAAGATACTTCACATTTCTGTATCGTATATTAACACAGAGATAAGTGAATATGCATATATAGGGTCTACGTCACGCACAGTTTCCATTCATTTACATATTTTAACAGACGCAGCAATATTTTTTTTTAGGGGTTTACCACTTCATGTCTGAACGATCCTTAAAAAGAAGGTTGAGTTCTGGGAAGAGGTGAAAAATAATTTGTGAGTGTTATCATTGTATTATGCAAGTGTGAAAGAACATCAGTTAAAACATCTTCCCTGAAAAGCATGGCTCTTCAAATGCCTTAATATTCTAAATATGGCATGTAACATCATAAAAAACTAGACCAGATGTACTAGTAACTTTACCAAGACTAGGCCAAATTTCTTATCATTTTGATGATTCCAGAACCTTGCAATACACACCAATACTTATATGCTAGATGATCAACCTTTTCTGATCGATTCCACAACGTTTCTTTGACAATGCAATCGCTTGACCAGAAGTGAACCTTCTATTTGACTATATGTTTATTGTGTGCTATGATCAGCTGAAATGAAAATGAATTTAATGACAGAAACTCATAAATAACCATTATTGCCATTATTTCCAATGTGTTCAGATCTACCCTGATGATAAGATGTCTGGTGATATTCAGATGTTGATGGTCCGATGTCATTTCTACAAGGATGGCTGTAGATGGACGGACCAACTCATGACTCTACAGGTAAGCTTCTGCCTAACTCTCAGCATACCACACCTCACTGTGTATACAGTCAAACCTACCTGTAGCGACGGCCCAAGGGAAACCCAAAAAGTGGTCTTTGTAGACAGGTTTCTTTAGTACATGTTTCATTGAGAAACCATTTTCAAGGGAAACAAAAAATATGGTCTTTGTAGACAGGTGGTCACTAAAGCAGGTTTGACTGTATATGTGGCCAATATCTGTATTGCAGGAGCAGAATTAAGGGCTGTTCCTATATGGCTGATATTAATAGCAATACGTATGGCCAAAAGTTATTCCCAAATTGGTCTCTTGAAGCCATGTGAAGTTTACAAGGAAAGTATTTCTGATCTCAGTGATGGAGATCTATCTCATTGATTGATGCTAATAAGACTTTGGCCTTTATTCTCTCAGAGCAATCGCATCTTGACACCAATATCAAATACTTGTACCTTCTTCGCACAAGATTTTGGAGACTAATTTGACGACAAAATATATAGTTATATATATATATATATAGGGTTGTTGTGGTGTAGTGGATATGTCGCTGGTCTGTGGATCGCATGGTTCATGATTCGAGTCCTTTGGCAAGACATTAATCTGCATTTGCCACTCTCCACCCAGGTGTTAATTGGGTACCCGGTTTGCAATTTATTCCAATGACCGGGGTTATAATAATACAATGTAAAGTGCTGAGCATTGTAGTAAGCACTAGACAAATGTGACTATCATTATTATCATTATTGTTCTTTTGTGTAGTTATTACATTAGTCAAGCCAAGCAAAACCTTCATCCTTTGTCAGCTCCTAAGTTTAATATCTAGGCCAATGCACTCTGGAGTGAAGTACTTAGGTGATTGTGTGTAAAGCCAACTGAAGTCTTGCACTCTGTTCCAGAAGTGTTAGGAAGGAAGACAGATTCCTGACACTGGTCACAGTTTTATCACCTATCCTTTATTGCATACAACTCAAGAGAACTTGGTTTGAGCATTCTGATGTACCTTAATCAAGTTCACACTTTGGTCCTGCACCAGCTCTGTTTCATCTGCCAAGAGAGAGAGAGAGAGAGAGTCTCTATCTCTTTCCCAGGGTGTAGATATACCTTGTTGATGATGTTCGCACTTGCACTTTTGCAAGTGTGACATTCATGTTATTTTTTTCTTGCCGGAATATATTTCGGTTTCTAGGTGATATTGAAACAAACAGGGACATAGAGATAGCGATATATGTATAGAAGTGGGGGAAGAGGTGGGGCAAGTTAAAGTCTTATTCATCCCATATCTTTGATTACTACTGGTATGTTAGTTATCATATATTGTTAGTCATTGCTGGAAAATGTGGGCATTTTGAGAGTACTGCTTATCATTGCTGCCATTATTTAAATTCTTCTAGGTAGGATTAAAAAGAAGGAGAAAACCCACCAATGTCTCCACCAACCCATCCTTCTGAAGTTCTCTTTGAGATACCCTTTACATAGAGCCAGAAGGGCATTAACTCTGTGTAAAGGTATCTGAGTTCATAACCCCTTTCTCGCTCTAAATGGACGAGATGTGCTAATTTTTCACCCAGATAATAATTGCCATGTGTGTATGCATCCAGATGGCATGCTCGTTGATGTACTCACACCGGTGGCACCGGGTTCAGAACCCAACCGTGTTAAAAGTGTCCTGGCTCCCTGCCTCTTTAACGAGCTTACCCGTCATTATGTTCACCCAACCTTAATCATACCATCTGGATTTCATTCTTATTTTTACCCTCTTTTGGGGGGGGGGGGGGGGGGCGCTGGGATGAGGCAAAGGGAATCATTACCATTCTTGTTTTATGAATGAAACCGCCAATGTTACATTGACCATTTGTGAGTGGCAATGAGTGCTAATTTGATTTTTATGATCTCATTAAACTTTTATCCGTTTCAGCAGTCATGTTTTTAGTAGTGGGGGGGGGGGGGGGGGGGCTGGAAAGGGAATCATTACCATTCTCGTATTATGAATGAAATTCTCAAAGTTACATTGACCATGTGTGAGAAAATAACATGTTACCCCCTACGGGTGAGTGGCAATAAGTGCCAATTTGATTTTTATGATCTCATTACACATTTATCCATTTTAGCAGTCATGTTTTAATGGAATTATTTAAAGGGAGATGATACGGAGAAATGTTATTACCTTCTTTTGAACTGTGATGAAGCACTTGTAAAAAGTAAAAATGTTTCCGCAGTGACAAACAATGATTATTTTGGATTTAATCATTTATTTGGGCTGAGTAACATGATTTTTAAATATTTTCTTACACAGAAAGATGTTTTTTGAAATACAAAAGGTTACATTCTGCAGTAGCACCTTGAAATGTTTGGTTATTGTCTAAAAGAGCCAACTTGAAATTTATTAAACAAAATTAGACTGTAATTGCATCAAATTAAAAGAATTGATGAATGAGAAAGTGCATATCCACCCTCAATCATAGGCCTATTACAAAGTATTTTGACTGCTACAAAAGATTATCAACCTTTAAGTTTATAACCTCACTCCTATATTGGGATAATTCCATCAGTAATAGGCCATATTGAATGAGAGTTGTAGAGAGAGAGAGAGAGAGAGAGGAATAAAAAAAGGAATACAATTTAAGAGAATGATCTCAAACTAATGATACACATGTGTAACACCCTCCTGCTCTCCAGCTTTCATTCCTAATCAAGTCATCCTTTCATCATCTACCACTATATTATTAGATTTGTGATTGATGTGATATCCAGATATCTCTCCTTGGCTTCGTCATTAGTCCCATACACCTATCATCACGTCACCAAGATTTCCCAAACACCAAACTTTTTCTGTTGGAATGATTCCACTAATTTTTTAGGGATTTTGGGTAGTGATGATACGGTTGCAAGAGGTGGGATATATAGGGTAACAAATTTGACACTTCCCACGATGGGTGTGAAGTCTTTCTGGTGCTAGTGTGATGGTTTGTGCGGTCATTGTACTCTTAATACATATTGTGGCCCGAATTCACAAAGGAGGTTTGTCGACAAACCTAGATTCATGTGCGTCATATGACGCGTTTCGATGCGTTTCAGACCAAGGTTCAGACGAACTTTAATCTGAAATGCATCAAAACACCTCATAATGCACATAAACCTCCTTTGTGAATTCGGGCCTGTGCATGTTTGGAGCCAAAAGTGTATCAACTCAGATACTTTAACACACATAAACGTCTTTCTGGCTTTGAGGTTTGAACAGAGGAATTTTGTTTTGCCATTGTTTCATTGAGGCACATTCATGTTTACTTCGAAATCGATATGCTTAGAGTCACTCATCACTATTAATAAGTATTTCATGAAGAAATGCTTTTGTTCAACATACACTGTATTAAAGTTATTCAATGCACTTTTAATTTAATTAATAATTGGGGACCTATTGAAGAAAAACACAACCTGAAATAAAGTAATTTCAATATCTGTCAATATTTGGTTGATTTCTTGTTATAATTGTCAAAACTAAATTTTCTCTCAAACATATAGCATTGGGGTTCTGAAATACAGATTCAAATATTTGTCATTATATTTTCAACAATTTTGCATTTCCTTTCCAAACAAGTGTGCCTCTATTTTCTTTTCATACATCCCACCATATCAAGCTTGTTATTATCAATGCCGCCTTTGATCACTCAACTGTTGCATTATTTTGACACTCTTCGTGACATCAAGCATTCATAACTCCTTGATTAATTGTGCTGCATCATGTATTAGTTGTTCAGACGTTATTGCAACATCGTATCATAACACTTCGTATTCATTGGATTAATTGTTATCCAAACTTGTTATGGTACTTTCAGGAATGCAGGAGAAATGATAGCTTCCTGTTTATGATTCCAAGATATGTTAGTAGGCGTTATTTTTACCTGCTTGATGTAAATAATGAAAAGAAATGAACAAAGTCGGATCGGAAATGAAGACAATAGAGCTGATACTTGTAGATAGTGAAATGATAGGAAAATGTAGGTAAAGGTGGTTGAAATATTAGAACAACATTGATTAAAATTGAGGCTTTACAGTTGGAATGAAAATTCAGGAAATAACTTCATTGTTTTCTAAATTTTGAGATCAGAAGGGTTCCTTCCAAATAACTGAATGTAGTGATTAACATCAGACAGTATGAAAATAGAAGAGACAGAGGGAGAAAATTACAAAATACCTGGGAAACCCAAGGTCTGCCCCCCCCCCCCCCCCCCCCCCCCAACTCCGTGAACGGAGGGATACCATGCATGTTACCAAAATGTCCGGTAAAGGGGTACTTTTCACGCACCAAAGTCTGGCTCATAGTACACAAAAATCTGGCCCGTATTCACTTTACACACCAGACTTAGGTGGGTGTTTTCAAAAGGAGGGAACATGCATATGCATACCCTAAATAACGTTGAGTGGGGGGGGGGGGGTGGGGGTCTGCCTAGAAACAATGAATTCATATTAAAGATAGTTATTACTTGCCATTTTGTGTACCAAAACTTGCCAGAAATGAACACCAATAACATTTGTTTTCCTATATTTCGTTGTAATTTTGGACATTGCAAATCTCATGTTGAAACTAACTGCAGAAATGGGAGCTTTTTCTCACCCCGAGCACAATATAACATTTTAATTTTAGGGCCACAGCATTTGCAGCATATTACATGGAAGAGTGTTACCATTACCCATTGCCTGCTGGAACGGGTTGATTCTGTACAGGAGGATGAGAGAAGAGCAGAGCAGTAGGAATCAAGTGGATTATTAAGTGAATGTGGTAGAGAGACAGTAGGAATGAAGGGAGGAGAGAGAGAGGGGGAGATAGATAGAGAGGGAGGGAGAGAGAGAGAGAGAGAGATAAAGAAAGAAAGAGAGAGAGAGAGAGAGAGAGAGAGAGAGAGAGAAATAGGTTTGATCAAGTGAATGTGGAAGAGAGAAAGTAGGAATAGAGGGAGGAGAGACAGGGAGATAGATGGATAGAGAGAGATAGAGACAGAGAAACA